AAGATAAAATTATTTTTTACGACTAACATTAAAATAATTTAATAAAAGTTTACATAATATGTTTATTATTATAGCTCATACCTAGTATGCGTTGAACAAAGGCCTGTGTGTATTAAGTTTGCTAAGAACATACAACATACAATTGAGATACAGTTATATAATATTATTAAGTCGGTTTTATACATTTGTGTATGTAGATAATGTATTAACCAAAACATGAAAAACACACTACGATAGTATTCAAATGAATACACTTTTTCAGAACACTTACAATAGCATACCATATATTTTGAATTAAAGTCGTTTTAATAGGAATATATTCTTAGATATTTCTAGTTCCGGTTTTGATTAACCTACATGGAAGTATGTTTACAATATTGTTATTCTAAATGTCAAACTGGAATTAGGAATACGTATGACAATGAATAAACTATAAACCTAATCATTTATTGTTCAAAATGTAATTATTTTTGTAGTTGTTGCTGACCGCTATGTATAAAATTTAATATTAGCCATTTGTTTAAATAGAATTTTTGTTTTTAACCTTAAAGCGTTTGTTTTGGGTTGTAATAGTATTTTCATCTTCAATCACCTAAAGTAACCAGTCAACGGTTCCAGAGAATACAAATTGTAGGTAAACAGTCACACGTGTTTAACTCTTGTTGTTCATCTATCAAACGAGTTTATAATAATATTGAATACGAGTACATAATAAATTATTGGGCTGAACTTCGAACGAGCCGAACGATTACCTAAATGTTAAATATTTTTAGTGTACTGTCGAATGGCGATTTTTCAATGACATCATTGTGAGCTTATTAAAGAAACCCAGATTAAGTTGGACCATATAGAGTTTCCCAGAACTGTGCAAGGTTGTAATGCATAGGTATTGTATTATTATTACTCATTAATAATATTATACCTATAAATTTGTACTGATTAGGGCACTCGATGGACTGAATCCAAAAACACCGGTTCTGTGTTATTACCCGTGTCATTTTTCACTAAACATATTTTAGTATTTATGTTGTCCCGAACAGTGTAAAAACATCTAACAACAACCCGTCTACTGGCCACGACATTATTTTCTGGTACAAAATGCGCAGTTAACCTTTTACACTTTTGGTGGCGTCGACGGGTCAAAAGTTCTCGGCAATAATAATGATATATTGTGTTCGCTGCTCGCATTCTTGTGCACCTTCGGAATCACAACGAATCGAGCGTGGAACATATTATATTGTGCAATGAGATTATCTCATCAATCATGATATAAGTAGAGGAGCGGCCCGCCCGAAGAGACCTAGGTTAATATACTACGCACGATCGTTCTGATGATTTACACTTTAGGGGAGATCAATAGTAAAAACAAACCGGTTCCGATGACGCCTTACTTCTAATACGTAAGGTCGATAGCTTATTATAAATAGCGCGAGATAAAGAATAAAAACACAAAAAAAAAAAATTGTAAAGGAATTGTGTTTTTGAAGCATATCATATCTCGCCGTGAAAGATGTACGTTATTTGCGCACTAGATCCTGTATCATATTTTAATGGCGGAATCGCCCCTTGGCTAGCTAGATATTAAAATATTTGCCAAGTCGTTCAAATATGCCATGTACAAAATATACATAATGTACATTATGTCAAGTTGCCACATCGTATATCCAATACGATATTAATATTTTTAGATCAATCATGCAACACGAATCAAAACGGTAGAGTAAAAAAAACGCACTCAGCCACTTCACAATGTTTTTGTATGTCTAGGACATTCATTAGTCGTGGCAGCAACCTGCCCTACCCTGTAGTGTATAATATAAATTGTACAGGATCTGATTACATCGGTCCTGAATACTTTGCGAATGCCAAGTTGTTGTACCTATAACTTATTTATATATATATATACAGCCAGGGGACGTGCCCACTCGTGACACTTCTCTACAAATGTACGCCATAGTATTTGCCAATCGTTTAGGCACAAAAAACGGGACATTTTTTCATCCCCAATATATTAATATTTATTTTTCCTTCTCCGGCTCAATTTACTTTGGTGAGAGGTCTGCCATTTTAATCTTCACGCATAAATTAAAAAAATTAAATTGTGTTAGTGAATTTCATCTCGTATTTAAAGAGCACTGAGTGAAATCTAAAACAGATTGAAAATTAGTGGACAACATTTCAAGATATAAGTTAAAAGTTTTTAAACTTCTTGAGGGATGATTTTTTTTATTCGTTTTCTATACTTTAAAGTCGTAAAAAACCACAGTTTAAAACTTTGAAATCGAAGTTACAGCGATATAGGGTGAAGGAAGGTATTTTCGTGGCATAAGCAATTTCGTGATATAGTTTGTTGATCGTATCGCGTAATTCCCTATTAGAAAATTGTCTTGAAAATCACACTGATTGTTAAAATAACTGTGTTTTAAGAATCAGTGTGATTTTTAAGACAATTTTCTAATAGGGAATTACGCGATACGATCAACAAACTAAATCACGAAATTGCTTATGCCACGAAATACCTTCCTTCACCCTACTATAGATTAGGGTATTTCAATCCAATGACAGTTATTGTCTTAAGCAAATTGAAGTAGGGGAGAGTGGGACAAGTTGGCGATGTTAAGGTGTGGCCTCCGAACAGATTTTATAGAGAAATAATCTTGTACTGAATTTAATGTTTTATTGCAATTTATTATTACTAAATAAATAGTAACAAAATAACAAATTGAACATGCCTGCTTTACTTATGTAAGTGACGGGTTTTTACAAGCTTAATTAAAATACTCCCATAAAAAATACCTTATAATTTTTAATTGGTAAGATTGTAACCTTTTATTTGAACTATATCTTTGTTATTATTACCATTCAGAAACGCCATGTGTTAGTAAAGCAAAAAGCAATAGTTAGAACGCGTTATTGCAACAATATGGATTTTAAAATTGAACATCAAAATTTAACGTGGTTAATTTTAACCGACAAGTTCTTTACACAGGAAACGGAATTGTACAAGTCTGCGCTAGAGTTTGAATAAGTACTCTTTTTTAGTCATGAAATTTCATTAACAAATTTTGAAGTTTTTACGACTAAAGTTTTATCGTCGAGTTATGACCCAAACAAATATATAAGTAAATCCTAGTTTTTCTTTCTGTGCGAGTAGTGTGTGCTAGGTACTCTTTTTTTTAGTTTATAATATATATATTGTTTGGGAACAATGTTACACGAGTAAGTCATTTTTGCCGTAGCTGTACATTTCTAAAATAACAAGTTAAATATTTATCTACTAAATTTTAACAGCTAAAGTATTTCTATTCTTTGAATATTTAATAACTAAAAATAAAAACCAGTTTAGTAAAAAAAAAAAGTGGCATGACCTCCTCTGCACGGAAGTACATAGGAATATGGATATGACTTAAAATAGGACCCTGGTACTTTTTAGTACTTTCTAATATCGAATGTTTTATCTCTAATCTCTTACCTCACCTCCAGTATCTAGCTGGACCATCTCTTAACTATAATCTCTTGTCTCCTCCCCTCCTCACCTTCAGCATCCAGCTGTACTATCTATTAACTATAATCTCTTATCTCAATTCCATTATCTCTAATCTTAAATATATATTTATATAAATATACATACTCGGTAACGTTTAGCGTTCGCACGCACAGATTTTCCGATTGACCCCCAGCCCTATAACATATTCCATGTTAACAGTATGAATTAATAAAAAGAAACACAGAAATTGTGAAGTAACTTAAAATTTAGTATTTAACCTGTTATATAACCACAAAATAAGTATACCTCATAAAAACATTTTTTTAGGCCCAGTTTTTCATTTAAGAGTTTTTTCTTCAAATAACTATTTGGCAAATAAATGCACTCGAGGAATAATAAACTACCGAATAAAATAACAAATTTTGTCAAGTGTTTTTCAAAGCAAAATTTTTATTCATTGAATAACTATTCGGAAAATAAAATTATCCAAGGAGATCTATTCCATTATTATTGGTTCAAATTTCTTATCAGTGATAATGACAAAGCAATTATCCAGTAATAATGAACGATATAATTTTTGTGATACTCGTATCACAAACAATTTTTATTTTACTATTTTATAATGGCAATTTTACGAATGTACAAAATAAAAGGCCTAGAGCTACTAACTTTTCCTTCGCGGAAAAAGAGCTATTGTTAAAATTTCCGTTACAAAGGAGTTAAATTCTTGAAATAAACAATCGAACGCTGTGTCATAAATTCTTATTTGACGAAAAAAGTACCGAATAAATTATCTGCGATTTATTCTTCAGATAAGGCTTATTCTTCCATTGAAAAAACCGAAAAATCACAAATATTTGTTATCTGACGAATAAGTTGAGCTATTCGACGAACAAACTCTACTGAAATCCGGGCCTTAGCATAATTGGAAATTACGCCCCCCCCCCGCCCTTATAAATTAAAACTTTGTTATAATTTATTAGATCGATCAGCATCCTATTTAACCAAAGGTAGTCAACTCCAAAACAACAGATTAAAAAAAACAGTAAAACAAAGAAAAAATATGTTATTTGTATAAGAGTTACGAGTTTTTTATGCAATTTAGTTGAAGAATATAGAATAAAATATTGACAACTTAATACCATTCAATACGCTATTGTTGTATTCTAAATAGTTTTATTAAAACAATACAATATTCGAATGGGAACTCTACTTTTGTCAAATTGCTTAAAATTGCAGATGTATACAAACAATAAACAAATTAAAAAAAAGGGAACGCTGTTCTCAATTTAATGATAAGTAAGTCAATAATCAGATAGCTCTATTGGCAAAAACTTTTCAGAAAAGACAAAACACTTTTTTTACTGGCATTGAATGTCGATTTTATCTCAAACTTTGGGATTGTTTAATAAAAAGCTAAAATAATAAATAGTATATAATTTTTCAAATTCAACAAACATCCAAATAATAATTTAAAACAAATTTGAATTTGAATAACTTTCACAGCAAAAAAAAAAAATTTCAATTTAAACTCTTAATCCTTTTTTTATTTTAATAAAAATGGAAATAATAATTTTAATTCTTAAAACGATTGATATATAAAAATGACACGCGACTGTTAAGCTTGGAAATCTGAAACTGAGTCACTGGTAGAAGTCTGCTTATTGACAATATTGATTTCCATCGAATCCTTAGTTCCTAAACACGACTTAGAGACTGTGCTAGTCCTGGTCGACGTCGTACTTCTCATCGATTGTGTAGAGGTTGAACGCAATTTTTTTTTAAATAATTTCAGGACTCGTTTTTTACAAACGAAAATCAAAAATATCAACACTCCTTGTAGGGTATTTCCAATATCAGTCACGTACCATACAGATTTCGAACTATCAAACGCCCACGATATAACTTCCGTGAGCCAATTTATTCCCATCACAATGAATAATTTTAAGTACAACATAAATCTGCAATACAAACCTATTTTTACAATCTTTTAATATCTAAATAAATCTGTATTTTTATTCAAATCTACCCCAACTATGGTAGGTACATTTAAATCTAAAGGGGGCAGATTTGATATGTACTTTGATATTGTATATTATAATAAGACACATTCAATGGATAATATGGATGTGTTTATAGCATAATTTATTATGATACCTTTGTTTTTCGTGATCAATGTTTTTCTTGCTTTCTGACCCGACGAGTACTTTTGCGTCTCTCATGCGTTTGACTATTTTTACTGCGGTATAAATAAACATCAGTAAATTACTGAATAACAGTATACCGATTGGCCCGTAGAAATACAAAAATGATGCGGTTTTTACTGAAACGATTAGAGTTTTAGTGAAATGTTGTACGTAATGGCAATACAATTTTTTAAAACTTGAGTTAGTTATAAGTATTTCAAAAAACAGAAATTAACTTTATCCGTTGATCGAACATCAACATTTTGTCTTGCTTCTTGGTAACCGTTTAACAGATTTTTGTCTGTTATCTTCTTTCAAATTAATGTTTCTCTACAAAAACGTTAGATTTAATAGAATCTTCGTTGAAAAAAATTAAAATCTATTAGTCTATCTATTTTGAAAAAAAATTCATTATTGTGTGTTGTTCGAACAAATAACGTTTAATTAGATACAATAATGTAGAAAATAAAAAAATAAAAATCTCATAATATACATAAAAAACCTGCGTGGTTCAAACCTTACCAATCAAAAGGTCATAGTATAATAAATATTAAATAAATTAGTAAGTTACAGATACTTTCGTTATTTTTTATTTATTATAAAAAGATGAAGATATATAATATTATAATGTTATTGACTGTTGTTGTACTCACAAGAAAACCAACAACGGGTTTTTCCGAATTCTGGGCGGATGGCATTTGGTGATACCGTTGGCGAAAATTCCATGTATAAAGTTATAATCAGTATAATAATGGACCATCCCCAGGCATATATTGAATATATAACAAACTTTTTAGCTTCTTGTCTCTTAGCATTTCCCCTTAGTGGTCTAAATCCGCTAAAACCACAAATAAAAAAACGTTAAGACTTTGAATTTTTACATTCTCATTTTCAATAGGAAAAATGAGTACCTATAAATTTGGGGAAATTTTTTTAAATCTTATTACAATGCATCAAATAAGGACATTTATTTAATAAAGAGGTTTAGATTTTAAAAAAATGCTTTGTATTATTATTTCTTGTTACGTTTTTACAACTTAATGTTATTTTATTTGATCTTTGAGCTTTTAAAAAATAATAAATTTACAGTTTGGGAATGGACAATTGAAGGTAGTATGGTTTAGATAGTAAATCAATTGTCACTATAGTGAGTGTGAGTGTATGTGAGTGTGTTTGTGACCAGAAATGTTATGTCTTTCAAATATTTTAGCAGTAATTAAACTATACTTTGCAAATAAATAAAAATGTTTCAGACATTATTTTTTTTACTGAAAAGGACATTAAAATATTCACATGTATTATATTTGTATTATTTTACATTTACATTTCCGTATCTAATGTGCTTTGAAACTAGGTAATTATGATAATTATTGCTACATGATATTACATATTTTATTTTGTTATAATATATACATTAACAACAGTGAAAAGTATGATAGGGCTTTTAATTATTGTCAAGAGACTACAGGGCATAGTCGACGTGGTGTGTGTATCATTATTTATTAGAGTTTTGCGAAAACCGTATAGGAATACAAAAACAGAATATTACAAACAAACATTTAATGATAATTAAACGACGATTATCGATTTACCTGAACGTCCACCAAAGATCAAAACACATGACATTTAACCATAAGAAACTAGCCAAAAAGGAAACCTGAATAATGAATGCTAAAAAAATATTTAAAAAAATACACAATTAATGCGATATTATAATATATATATATATACCACAAGCTAATAACTATAAAATAAGTACAGTTGAAGTACAGTTGTTACAGTTCATCATAACAGTTACACTTTTAACCAGTGCCAAGTGTAGTTTTTCATAAACTACGTAATACTTTTACAATTTAAACAATGAACCTAAAACATATTAAAAGCAAATATTTTATATAAAATATAATACCGTTGATATAAAAATGTTTTTTTTTAATTACTCCTGTGTTAAATACGATATTATGATCAGATAGCGTCAGTATAACATTAAAAAACTACATCATAATGAAAGTACCTGTCACTTTAAAAAGTGTCATTAAAAACATTTGTATAACTACTAAATGACAATTAAATTATCTCATTATTATTTTCATTATATCAACCAATCGAAGTAGTTTTATTTCCCAGGCTTTATGGCAAAATGGCAACATGTACACTACTGCATTGTACCATTGGGTAGATTATACGAAAAACAATTTAGGAGCTAATTACTGGAAATCAGCTGTGATGGACAACTTTTGCTCTGTACCCTCCATTTCGAACACATTGTATGGTCCATCTTTAGAGAAATAGTCACTGTCGCGACTATACTGAGCGTATCGCTAATTGATTCCTACCGGTATGAATTGTGCCATTCGCGTATTTACATTTTTCTTAATACTTAAACATTTGTCTAGAGTCTAGTTTCAAACGTCTCTCTCATGAACCCGAGCCGCAACTCATACGTCCCTCTCATAAACCCGGTCCGCAACAAGTACTTGATTTAGGGATTGGCCGCAACTCACCAACACCGGCTTTTACCTGGTTTTGAAACTAGACGCTTCATTTGTTATAGTTAATTTTAAATATGATAGTGGCATTGGTTCATTCTTTTTTAGGCAGAATCTGTGTTAGCTAATTGACTGTCCACCGCTTAAGATTTGTTTAATATATTCAGCTGCGCGTACTCTGCATAATACTCTGTACGCACGCCTATGAACTCCATATTAAGCTTTGTTAAGTATCCTTTGTGAGCTCTGTCCCTGTGAGAATATACCTGTAACTATGCATAAATTGCCGGTAGGATTGTTGACTTGAATGAACGCTAAGAAAGAGTAGGCCACGGTCAGGCTGGACACGTGACACATGAGTGATTTTCCGTGCAAGTTGCGGAGCTCTCGCAAGCAGGCGTACACCAGGAACGTGATGATCAGAAACGGCACGGACAACATCAGGGTGGTGGAATAGACGGTCATCTGCCACTCGTCAGAGTCGATTTTTACGTGCTGCGTGTCGTTGGGTAAGCACGGGTACGCGCTCACCGCGTTGGTTTCAAGTCGTTCCAAGCAGTACTCAGTGGGATTGAAATCACCGACGTTTACGGTAAATAATCGGCCGGTGGTGCCGTCGATCCGGTACGCGTCTTCGGAATACCGGTCCGGTTCCAGTGGAAAAACCCCGTTCGGGCACGGCGAGCCTATGACTACGTCGAACGTGTCCGATTCGTGGTAGCGGTACACCGGTTGTCCGTCGTTGGCCGTCGGCACACGTAGCGGCGGTAGCCGTTCGTCCACACGCGTGCAGTTGTTGTCCACCATAATTTCGTTGGACCGTTTGCAGCACTTATACAAAGCCACTTTCGCAAGGACAACGTCGCACGTCGACAACAGCAGACAAACGACAACCATGGCGAGTATGTCTGAATGGCCGTTATTGGCGATTTTCATCATTTTCCCGGTTACGGAAGTAACGGGAACCGTTGTGGCGTTGTACCGTCGGCGAGACTGCGATGGAAATGCAAAACGGCAAAAAAAAATGCCGCTTTGTACGTCCAACGCGTCGATAACGGATCGGAAGCGGACACGCACGCCAAGTAACGGTCACGCGGTTAATCGTATACTAACAACTATCGCTTTCTGTCATGCATGTAATAATATACGCGTATACACTATAATTATGTAATATTGTGTAAGTGATATTGTATACTAATTAGTAATTAATAATATGTTTTTTTTATTATTGTGTTCGCAATGCGAACAAGCATCGTAGTTTATAGTTTGAACGGATTCGTGTATTGAGATTACCTAATATCCTTCCTATACAGGGTAATCCATCTGATGTAAGACACTCTTTGTATCGCGAAATGTGAATATTTTGAAAATTATATTTTTCCTATACCTACGGGTAGGTACATGTTTTACTGTATTTTTCAATATTTTGAACATTTTTACCTTCATCCATTATGTGTAAAAGAAGTATGGACTTGGTTTTTTCAAATGAGAACATAATATCTTTTCGTTCACATAAACGTGTAGACAAAAACATTTAAATATTGCTAGCGTTAAAATTTTTAATTTCCATTAAACTGTTCGTTCACTATACAACTTTTTAAAGATTTGAGTATTTGATGAGATTTGATCAATATATTCGATCGGGTTTTACAACAGTAGCAAAGTACCTTCCCATTAAATAATAATATTGACCTCCGTCTATAGCACTGTCATCATCTCTTTATTTGAATCGGTAGATAAGACCACTTGTTTATCATTATCTCAAATCATGTCATTATGTCTGGTTATTCGTATTCTCGCCTACCGGACAATGCGCCATAAAATTTAATTTTATGGGCTGCTGGAATTTGGAAAACCGAAGAAATGTGAGGGAAAATATAAGGGGAAATGCAATAACATATGTAAGTCACAATAAACGAACAGATTGATGGAAATGAAAAATTCATACGCTAACATTTTTTAAATATTTTTCGTCTACATTTGTAAGCGTATATGAAACTGAAAACATATGGTCCATACTTGTGAACGTATAAGGAATGAAGACAAATATTTTCAAATTATTAAAAATTATAGTAAAATATTTACCATAGGAAAAAAACTATGTTCATTTTCTGAGAAAATGAGTGTCTTACATCAGATGGATCACCCTGTATTATAACCAGGGCCGTAATTCCCGTTTGCCAAAATAGACACATCACACGAGCCTGTCTTGCTTTATAATTTAGGGCCAAGTAGAAAATAAATATATAAAACTAAAGATGCTTTTAATACACTCTTCGGAATGGCGTTGTGCTTTATAAAAAAAAAATAGGGGTTGCTGGAAAAAATTAACATTATTTTCGGGGCTGCTGCCATATAAAATCAGTATTATTACTCAATCAGGTGGTTTCTAGTAGTAGTAATATAATATAGATGCTACGCTCCGACGAATGGCAATACCTACAACTGTGTTTCATTAATATAGATGGGGGTTTATTTAGTCGGTTCTGGAAACAATGATCCAGCCGAAAATTACTTCATTGGTTACATAGCAAAAAATGACGCAGTCGAACAATACTTCAAACAAATTGCGTTTATAAACTAGTGTTGCATTTGCATTATTGCAATTTTGTATGGTAAAATAGGTGTGGGTCGCCCACAAAAACGTAGTCAAGTTGAAGGTAGTAACGCGTGTACTAACTTCTTTTCACGTAATGATGATACTTAAGTGTACCATCAAAATTATGTTGGTGGTAACATATAATTTTAATTTATCAATAAAGCCAGATTTACGGTTCACTCTAGACGATCACTTTTGGTTAATCCAAATGATCCAATTATAAATGAACCGTGTAAATATCAAAACCGCCCAAAGTGCCATCCAATCTCCATTCTCCTGGAATTACTAAAATATTTAATATTACTGACGCTTTATTATTGACGGAAGTCCGCAACCTTAAATTATAAGTTTATTATGTTTGTACACACTAATAATCAGGTATAAACGATTCACTCGGCATGTTCATTCAAAGTGAACTAATGTCGGACCTGACCAAACTTTGTAAATCTTTCAGTCCGGATGATTTTGATATTTACACGGTTCATTTTTAACGGATTAATAAAAAATAATCATCTAGAGTGAACCGTAAATCTGGCTAATTTATTAATGACGATTTAAACCGATATCGGGATCATTTTTTTTATTAGTATAAAATGTTATTTTCCAGTTGAATAGTTAAAACAGATCACTAATCTGGAAACGAGAAACATATGTATGTACTTAACGATAGGTGAATTCGAAACAAGGAAGTTAAGGGACTGTAAGACGAAATAAAGCTCTTGATTTTTGCCAGTGAACTGTTTGAAACAGCTCAACTCCTATTCGGTAGGTATATCCATTACAATCTGTTTCTGACATTAGATAGTATGCTTATCCAAGTAAACATTATTGGCAAACAAAAATAATTTATTTTCAACGTATATACTTTAACGCTCCGGAAAGAGGAATCTTTGAGCAAAGTACATTATACCTAGAAACAGTGTACTTCCTAGTATTGTAATCGCTGCCAAAGGTGCTGTGGTAGTCCAAAAAATAAATTAAATTAAATAAAAACCAAAAAAGAGTACTAGTTACTGAACTACTAATGTCACATCACAGTTTAATCTTTAAATGAAGATTTTGAAAAAATTGCCTAAACTAAACTCCTTAATAAATAGGGGGTATGACATCTTAACAATCTTAACAACTGTAAATTTTTTTCATTCATCATGAATAAATAAATTTGAATGTTTAATTTTAAAGAGAATAATATATTTTAACAATAAATAATAAAAGTATCGGGATATTCACTAAAAAATAATAGGTTAATTAAATTTATTATTTCACGATCTTAAATCTTAATACATTTATATTTGAATTTGTTTTAAAATTATAATTATTGAGGTAAGGATTTTTATAAGTTACTACAGTTTTTTAATAATTTTCAGTTTTGGATCAGCAAGAAAAACTCCAAGAAATAAGTATACAAGTTATGGTCATGTTTAAAGGAATGGTTTAACAGTACAATTATTACAGTTCTAACATTTTTTATATATTTTACAACACGTCAATGACAAACTTAAATTTTATTTCTTACTTGCAATAAACACTTCAAGTCGTTTAACGTCGGCGTACGTGCATTAATGCATAATACATAAGAGGAACGGTTGTCAAGATTTAAGTAGAGAGCTTAAAGAGAGAGAATTATGATAAAAGTGCTCGAATAAAGCCTCGGGTATAAATAAGAAGGAGATTTCACAATGTAAATGAACGAGAATGCCGACTAAGTTTTTCTATCTCTACACAGTTTAATATTAATAAAAAAGGTTTTGTTAAAAAAAAACACTCGGAGAGGTAATTGCATCGTTTACAGGGTTTACATCAACGGTGTTTTATATTCATCTAAAAATGTGTTCAAGAAAAAACTTTTTTCTTGAGGATAATGTAAAAAATAAAAAAAATAGCTATATTTTTGTTTCTACATATTTTCATAGAACTGTGTTCGTCTAAAGTAGCAATTTCCTATACAAAAATACGCATTTGTATAAAACGTATATCCTAATCCTAATCGAATAATAATGATTTAATATAATATTCGTATGGACGTTAATCTAGAAGAACAGAAGCGGCGATGTCCGTAAATAACCAATAACTAGTTCATATACTTAACAACCATTTAGTGTGATTTTATTAAGTAGTATTGAATCGTTTAATACACGCTGAAGTATTATCGAGAAATTTAGTTTAAAATACAAGTACCTGAAAATAGCTTTATTTTTTTTTTATAAATAAAAACATAATCCGGTAGCGTTTGAATTTATTGGCATCGCTATATTATAATTATAATTGAAATACTTAGTCGCAATGGGTACAATGTTAAACATAATTTCATCTTAAGAAAGCTACACGTGACAGTCTTCTTCCAAGGTAAACTTATTTTTATAATTTGAAATTATTTTCGAAGGCCGAGAAAATTAATGTATTTTATGTACCAAATGAATAAAATGAATAATTAAATAATGTAAAATTCTCAAAATGAAATACACAAAATATTACACGGACTGCAATAATGTATTGATAAGTTATATTGACTTATCAACTAATACTCCACATAACTAAACTTAAACTTGTTTTCAATGTATTACTGTGACAATATGTACACATTATCAAAGTTTAAACTATACAATGTACTTAACAGAGTTATAAAAAATAGACTATATATTTGGGAAGGATGTGGTTTGTCCACAGACAGGATGTGAGCTATATATATTTTCCCATAGATTACTTTTTTTACATAGATTTTTTGTACTGAAAATTATTTCTGAGTATAAATATTATATTCTTGTTGAAAAAAAAGAATAACAATAAAACTTTCAACATTGTTTGATCTTGTGCAAAGTAAAAATGCTATTCTCTGAAAATGGTGCAAATTGAAACGTTTATTTTCTCAGTGGGATAAACGATCCCAAGTAAACAAGCAAACAATATTATATGTACTCTATAAATTGATATAACTCAAGTTATACCGTATATGTTAGGTTGTGGTTAGTGATGGCCTCATACTCATTAACTCAACCGTAGTCTATACCTAAAAGTAGTGGAATTAAAATCGTGAATATAATTTGATCACAGATTTTGGTCTAAACAATGTGCTTGTATCTTGTCAAACTTTTTTTTGTAGAAAGTACAACACTTGCTTTATTACTAATTTATCTAATGCACAATAGTACAATTTAACAAAAATAGCCTTTTAACGTGAAATATAAGTGACCTTAATAATGTTTCATGTATTTTTGGGTTTAACTCAAAACATTTATTGTTTAATATGGCACGAAGTTCCATTTTGTGTAGCAGTGGTAGAGCACAGGACTTATTTGAGTTGTATCCAAAAGTTGTGGTTCACATTCTAAAATACAAAATTCACATTACCATAAACGCTATTCTAATTACATTAATTTTCTTACTGGCACGACAACTTAAATATGTTTAACTTGTTCAATTTACTGTTTTTTTTTACTGGTTTACTG